TTCCGATTTAGGGGATGTTACAGGGATACTGAAATACACACTTTATGGATAACTTGCGGATTTTTAACGATTTCTGGTGTACCTACGCATACGCAATAAAAATTATTTTCTTCAAATGTTAATCACTATCTTTAACCGGGTAGCCCTATTTGTACAAGCGAATCTGATCAATACGACGTTTTTACCGCGAAAATCACCTGCAGTGATACAACCAATTCAAAACCGGGCGAATCCAAAGCGGGCCGGAAAATTTCAGCGATCATACCTCGATAACGTTCGCCATTCACGGTACTACAATCGAACTCCCTGCTCGAAAACCGACTGTCACGAACGCAGAGATGAACGTAATATGATTTTAGACTCGATACCGTTGCACAAATTACTAGGTAATCGACTTGAACGTCCGTTTCGCTCGGCGACGCATTACGAACCGGAGACGAAAGATAATATTATCGAATTCCGATATTCAACTATCTGACGTATCCGACGGAGATCGTCGGACGGCGAAATATTGCGTTTGATAATATAGAAAATGACCGCGATGTTATAATTTCCTCGGCGTTATCGGGTACAACACAGGCGCTCCTTTGACATAAATTTAAATCCAAGCGCGTACGATCCGATGATACATATCAATTTAGAGAGCCGGTAAAATACCGAACGCCGGATTCAGTCGGCCACCTTACATGTCGGGACGACAAGAAAACCCGACGGTGGTAAACTCTCATCGAACTGCTGTGTTTTAGAAAGATACGTAGGTGCATCTTATCATTGCGATTGGACATCGGAAGACGCGTTATTGGTATTCATCGCGGACAATAATGTATCACGATTAAAACCCCCCCGAGGACAGCGAGAGTTTTCGTCCGTGCGGGCGCGGGGCAATAGTGCTTAGTACATATTTTAGTTACTCATTTTTCGCACGTAATGTCGTGACGGATTACGAAATTGCACGTGATTTATGTACTTAAAAAAAAAAAAAACAAAACAAAAACAAAAACAAAATAATAATTAAAACCGTTCGGATTTCGCGTGTATTTATTTTTAGAAAACCACTGTGGGCTGGTATACGTGATTAGTTTTGTTTTGTTTTTTTTTTCTTTTTTCCATTTGTTTGATTGGATTTACACGCACGGCGAGACGGGGACTTTGGCCATCCGAACGTACAAAACAGATACCAGTTATATCGCGGTTGCCCGTAGAATATAATAATATATTCGCAGTTGTCGGAATCGCACGCCCCCTTTCGCTACGTTATATAATAGTATATACAGGGCGTACATGCTGAATTTGGCAATTTCCTATTAGAGAATTGTCCGCATTTCATACACCCTGTTTGTATGGTTCGAGCTATTTATTTTATTTTCGTGGACAACAACAACGGTCTCTAAGTTCATTTTTATTAACTTCTCACGGGATGAAACGAGATATAAAAATAAAATATATATATATATATTATAAAATTCGCCCGTGACTGCCGATTTTGTTTATTCATTATTTTTTCGCCGAAATCGTTTTTCAGAACTTCTTGGGACAACAATAATACGTACAGTTCTTTTCAACGTGTCCAATCAGTCAGACGCAACGTATTATTATGTAAAATTGACACGAAACAAAAAAAAAAAAAAAAAAAAAACAAACAAACAATCGCGTCTATAGTATTTAATTGAATACTACGAATTTCTGCGATTTCAGTCTAGAGTTCGATTTATACACATGAAAATAATGAACTCTGTTTTGAAACATTTTGGATCCCGAACGTAGCGTGTGGCGTGTTTATTAGTATTAATTTACGGATGTTTTTTTTTTGTTCGTGAATAAATATCTCTTGATTTTCCATATCATTTTTTGATAATTGGAGATAATTAAAAAAAAAGACGTTCATGTCAGCTTCCCTCTCATTAAAAATCATAAAAAAAAAAAATTATGCTAATATTTAGCACATAATTTACGCATGGATTTGCACGACCAGCTCCGTAACCCTAATACCATCTCTTTTTTAGATATTATATCGTTTTACAATTTACAGAGTCACTATTATATACCTAGCTATAACATCTTACCATTATTACGTATTAAATGTGTTATAATTGATAAGCACAGTGAAAAAATTGAATTTCTCAGGACGATAATTTAGTATACAATATTGCACTCGATATACAGTATACATAGTGTGTATAAAAACAGCATTTTTTTTTTTTTTTTATATTTATATTTTTTTACATAAGTACCACAGTCATCTTTACCCTTTCTCCGTCCACCCCTCCCCCATCAGATCTTATCCCTTATCAATATGAATATTACGTACTGCCACCTTCATTATCGTGTGGTTAGATAAGCGATTCAATTAGCTCGTAAACCTCGGAGAGGGCTTAAGCCTCATTAAAATGTTAAATAAATGCAATCAATGAGCCACTTTTGCATTGAGAGACCTTCTGACGATTCATAGCGGTATAAGCCCCCTAGCTCTCCTAATTGAGTTATTGGCGTTAGATGCTAGATTCCACCTGGTGGTATTTTTCTGGAAAAATCGATGTTTTAACATAAAAAAAAAAAAAAAAAATTCCTTCTTAAATTTTTAATATTCCAGCAGCTCCGCTCCGCGTAGATGTGATCATAGTTGTTAAACGTATGGGATGAAGTAAAATTATCCATTCCCTTCGATTTAAGTCTTCCAAATCCGGGGAGACGATTTAATAACCCCCTGGACTAAAGCTGGTCACATTTTTATTGAAATTAAAAAAGCTCAATATAGGTTTGTTCGAAATCAATTCTCTAATACATACAGTTTATTAATAAACACTAATTCATTTTTATTGAGTAGATATATTTTATTTATGATAATATTATTTTTTCGGAGGAAGGCATCGTAGTTCGTTTGTTAGCTCCCGTCATTATCGTAACAATTTTACGAAAAAATATTTAGGAAAAAAATATTTTGAAAGTCTTGTGTTGTAATATGTTTCGTAAAAGTTTAGTTGAGTTTAATTAGTTCTCGGAAATACCTCTATACTTATAATAAACATAATTCCCTTTACGGATTCTAGGTAAAATAAAAAAAAAAAAAGATGGATCGTAAAAAAAACATAAATTTTAGGAGAACGAAATTATGTTTGGACACTCGATGCGACATTACGAATTTTTGAATATCATCGTAGAAGGGAAGATTTTAAGCATGGAAACTAAAGGAAGACCTAAAACGTCTTTCCTTCAAAGCTTGAAAACACAATAGGTAGTTGTGCAGATTACAAGACACCAAAGGAAACTGCTAAGGGCCGGTATATTTGGCTTCAATGATAATGACAGGGCACAGCCTTAAGAGAAAGAAGTGGGTGACCCCCTTCGAAGTCCGACACACTTCAACCGCTGCAAAAACTGATCGAACGTCGCCAAAAACGATTCGATAATAATGCAATATCCGGAGACGACCGCGACCGCCGTGTTTCGTCGTCATTATAATGTTATAAAGGTTTCGAAAATTACCGCCGGGATGACAGCACGTTTTTAATATACCTACGAGCGGCGTAGTCGCGGGAATCGCCGCGTCGTCGGTGACGTTCCGTCCGAGTCGCAATACAGACGGAACACTGCAGTTCGCCATTGTCTCCTAAGTTTATAACTGTTTTCGCGGCATAATGTCGGCATATATGATGTCGCGCTGTTGTTGTACCGTTAATACAATTACTATTCACGACCGGATTCGAATATTCAGCCCCAGAATTTATCCCATGACCCGCCGATCCTGCGAAGGTTGTGTGGAGTGCGAACACGGGTACACATCATCTTGCGATTCCAATATGATTTATTTTACTCCCGGGTTGTCCGATTTTTATCCGGTGAATAAAAGAGTACAGTGGGCATTATTCGCAGTACGTGTCCAAAATAAGTACCTAATACAGGGTGAATGTAGTTGACGTTTTGTTGTGAAAAAAAAAAAAAAAACTACCGCATATCGATACAAAAGCGTCAAAGTCGAATGCGTCGTATTGTTTGCGAGCGGCGAGAAGTGTCCAACTACCCTTCCATAGAAACAAGCATCAGCAATATTTCCGAAAATCCTACGTTGTCGGGAAAATTGGTTTTTCGATTTATTTGTACGCATTTAAATAATTATTTTATTTTATTTTTTACTTTTTTACATAAACCACGAGTAATAAACAACTAAAATATATTGGAACGTTTTATTTTGTATTTGCTCAATTGTGTTTGGTTTATTATATTATTTGTTAGTGGATAGTAACTCGCATTGTCATTAGCACAATCGTATTATAAGTACTGAAAAAAAAAAAAAAAAAAAAAAAATGTTAATTTAAAAACCGTAATATTATTCATACAGATGTATTCGTCTCGGACGTCATGGACGTTTAAATAAGGACGCTTTTGACAGATATCTCATTTAGTGGGGAAACAGTTTTCCCGCGAGACTTTGTCGACAACGTCAAAATCCTTATTGGGCCTAAGTACTTTGGTAAGTCTTGGGATTTTTGGGATTCAAAAATTACGTAGCGTCAAATAAATCTCAACAATTAAGTGACATCTAAACCGGACATTTGAGGGGCGACATTAAATGCCACGCTTCTTTAAGTTTTGCAATGAATATTTATTTAACGAGATAGCTGCCGTGTACGTACCTAATAAAGGACCGTATTCGTGAAACATAAAATGGGTTTTCCATCGTTCACCAATATGACACCGTTCTCAAAGTTTGGACGGATAAATATAAAACCCTTATATTATAAAAGAGTACGTTCCGATTTCGAACGTATGCTTTAAAATTCTGATTGCACCGAAGAATTGATTGGATTTACAAAGATGTTTATTTTTTTTTTTTTTTTTAAATATATGAATACTTTTTCTGCCAGAAAGCTTACTGACGTACATGACGTAGATTACTTTCGGAAAGGAAATTTTCTCGGAATGGTACACTTTAGGGAGGTTATTTTTCGATTTTCTCATCAAAAATGAAAAAAACCCCAAAAAAAGAAGAAAACGGGAAAATTTACGAAACATATATAAGTGAAATATTACGGTTTTTTTTCTGTGGATAACTTTTTTATCAGAAATTTCGCTCCGATTTACAATGATAGCACTTTTTATGAAAGCAAATCTGACTGGAAAAGGTACTTTAGGGAGGTCATTTTTTGATTTTCCCAGGATTTTTCTCAACAAATGTGAACAACCCGGAAAAGGGGGTAAAACGCAGGAAAAACAGGAAAGATGGCACATTACCTATTTAGTTGTTTTACCATAATATGACAGAATGACAAATTAAAATGTATATTGTTGACAATGCATCACTATTAGCTGAATTCCGCTCAGAATTGTTTTTAGTAAGCATTGGTTTATCATGGCTTACTGATATACATTAAATTCTTTTCTGTTTTCTAACTTCCGAATTTCCCACCTACAACAATGTCTGCACCCATTCCCATTATCCCAGGACACATTTTTATTGCATTATTGTCTGGCTAAAAATCTCATCCCTCGATAATCATGCTTGCATATACGTACGAAACGTATAAGGATGAATTTTCTTTGAGTAATGAATTTTTAAATTAAATTTTATATATATATACTGGATGGTATATTTAATCACGTACCAGCAATTTTTATGGAGAATTTTAAGTGAATTTGATTTTTTTTCCCTTAATCAAAATCAAATCGTTTAAAAGTTATTTTAACATTATTCTGAATGTTTTACCTCTACTCATTATACTCAATATAACTGTATAACAATATTACATATTACATTACTTGTTTCTAAATTTAAAAAAAATTTTAATTCCCTAAAACATCAATGTCTTTCGAAATAATAAGTGCCTTTCGTTATGCTATCAAATTGGCCTTATAAAAAAAAATTGCCAGCGTAGTGTTATCGGGCCGTTGACTGTTCTTGATCCGGACGCAGTTGGACTTTAACTTTTTACACTCAAGTGCAATTCGACTGTCCTCAACGGAACATATCCGACCGAACACGATTATTTGCACTACATCCTTACGCGTTTACCACGATTATTCTTTCGGGCTTTTTGTGATTTCCTGGCTTTTCCTATCTTATTACCTTTTGTGATTTTCTATTATTCACACGTACTGTATTATTATCTTTTATAAAACAGTTTATCATCGTTACACTATCTGTCGGGGTTTTTTTTTTATTTTCATTTTATATATGCGTTACGGTCGTGCGCGCGTTCAATAAGCTAGGTGTAATTTAACGCAGTCCCTCTCCCAGCCTCTTCCAATAAATGCAAACCGTGATGGCAAGACGAACGTTTTCCACTGCAGATCAATCGCAAAACAATTAAACGAAGCTTATGTGGATTACCTAAAAAGTAACCCTTTCCCTCCGAAAATCAAATTGCGAGTGCCGGCGAATCCTCGGAAGTCTTGTGATGATTCGGTACCTACTGCCGAGCGGAAAACTCATATACGACGCATATAAGAAAACCGCGTCTCTTTGGCGTAAAAGAAGCTTTCCCATCACCACATATAATTTATTATAGGCAGATACGTTCGGAATATAGAAAAAAAAAAAAAATACGAAAAAAAGGTTTATGAAGAAAACTGCAGCTGTTGCTGCGGGACAGTCGTTGTCCTCGACGACGTCACCGCGCGAGCAGAATAAATGGAAAAATTATTTAAAATCATTTATTTTCGTTTCTGACGGTCGTTCGTATTATGGAATATAAAACCGCGCGCGAACATGATAAAAAATATTATACATATTCTATTGAACCGGATGAAAAAAAAAAACCATAATAATACGGGTATAATAGTTTGGTGCTTGCGTATATTGCGTGCATTATTATTATTATTATTATGCACGTATATAGGTAAGTGTATGCCTCCGTTCGTTTACTTTTCAAAAATATTTATTATATACGACCCGCCGCGGTCTTGTTTCGTGAGGTGTGTACACGACATCGGCGGCGTAATATATTATAAATTTATAATAGCCGCGTACCACTCGAGTTTGATAAAAAAAAAAAAACAATTTACAGCGAAAAATTAAAAGAAGAAAAAAAAATCCCCCCTGAGGCAATTTCGGCTTCGGGTCTGCTACCCCCACCAACCCACCCCGCGATCCGGATCGGGGCTATTAATCCGGATTATACCGCCTGGCGCCACGCCAGTTAAATCGCGATGTCGACTCGCCGTGCGTCAGTTCACCGCGTACGGAGACTCACAAACGGAACGCGTTTGGGTGCACGCTGTTTCCGGAAAAACAACACGTTCGGGTACGGTTAAATCGCATACAACGTTTTTGAACGCGGATTCGGAGCTGTTGGGAACACGTTGGCTCTACAACGACGTTTATTTTATTTTCCACCCGAAATCTCGCTCCGGTTTTCACGCGTAGCACTTTTTCGAAGAGCGAAAACCCCCCGACCGGGGTGGTGCTTCCGGAAGGTTACTGTATGATTTTTCCCAGGGGTTTTCTCAACACGCGTGAAAAACCGGGACAATTTACGAAACGTATTGTTTTCGAATCGTAAATATTACGGCCTTTCAAAACGCACGCGCGTACAACCGCACTCCGTTCCGAACCGTTTTCGGTTTACAATATTCTCGTACGACGCGAAAATAACATTCCGTTCAACCGCATCAGTACATTACGCGGCCACGTGAAACGGCGAAGAGTCGCCGGCATCCGTACGTATTATGCGAAGGAAAAACATCGAATTCACTCAAAACGGTAGTATAGGCTTGCGGACACGACTAATGTACCGTCGCGTTCTCCTTGGGAGCGCCGGCCTTCAAGACCGCCTCGCCCGGCATAGTCGCCACCAGCATTCCCTAACGGTAGTCCCTTTCAGCCGGTTCCAGAATTTGATTTATTTTTTTTTTCTCGCGTCCTCCTTATACCCACCTCCCCACGTGGTCTCGCACGTCGTTTCGGCGGTCCTTTCGCTCGCGGGGAATTTTCCGGCGCCGTTCTCCGTTCGAACGAGTCACACGGTTCTCGGCCACACCTTCCGCGATACTCAACCGGGCCTCGAAACCTGTTCGCCGAGTTCCCTGGTTAGTTTTTTTTCCCCCCGGGTACTCGCCTTTCGAAAACAACTGCGGCGCACGGCGCCGGGTCGCGACCGGTTTCCGAGACGAACGAATCGCGTGGAAACCACGCGCAAAAGTCCTTGACGAACCGCAATCGCCGTTGCCGCCGTAAACATTGCGCACTCGTTACGCATCGCGTTTTACCGGAATTACGAGGAGGGTGTAATTATTATTATTACCGTCGTCGTCGTCGCGGCTCCGCCGTCTTCGCCGCGCCGCGCGTACGCGCGCACTAGACGCGTGACGTCACCGTAGACCCCCCCTCCCCGAAAGTCGTAATGGCACGCACGCGGACGAACGTTACAGCCCGCGGCTCGGAACAGACCCGTACGCGTATTATAAACGCGCGCGTATAACGAAACAACGAAAACCCCCCTCGGTACCGCCGATATTCCGGAGACGGCAAAACGTTAAAACGATAATTGCCTCTTTCGTCCGGACGCGTGCGCTCGACGTCTGGCGCGTCGCGCGCAATATCAAACGCGGGCCGGCGGCGTTCGGATTCACTCGCGGCGGCGGCGGCGGCGTTTCCGACGGGGACGGCGTCGTCGGCGGGCCGCGTGCCGAGGGGGCGAACGGACCGAAACTGTAAACAGGACGCGGTTACGGTTCGACGACCGTACCCCCCGCCCCGCCGCGGGATAATTATCGCGTTGTTATTTCCTCGCGATTCCGGGTGTAAGGGACGGGTGGGGCATGGGTGCGGGTAAAACACGGTAAACATATCGGTGACTTTCCGCGGCGCGCGTGGTTTTGACGCTCGACGGGTACACCGTGTGTAACCGCCGAGACGGAAAAGTTTCAAAAGTTCTCGCGCCGTAGTTTTCGCGCCGTTCGAAAAGTTTCCGGGCGGCGTCGAGAAACGGAAAGTTTTTCGCGCGCGCTAGGTGTGCCCACACCGTACCCGTCCTGCACGCACCTACGGGCCCCCTACTACCGTACCCACCTGTCCGGCAGTTAAGATCGGCGGCGGCCATCGTCAGTTCGACTACCTCGTGCCGGACCAATTAAAACCGTTACTGCGGGCGCCTACGGGGTCGACAAACCCCGAGTCCGTGTCGGCCGCCCTGAGATTCAAAAACCCAAACGGTAATCGCGGGTGTCGTAATCGCGCGTATATTGTGAGCCGAAAAGTCCACTGGTGATCGTGAACAATCGCGACCGCCGGCATTTCAAGCGCAAACTATTCCCCTTTTTCCGATGCTCGCGGAAATTGTTGTTTATCGATCAAAACCGTCGTGCGTATTTATTCGCTCACCGAAAAAACCGTCGGCGATATTTTTATTATTATTATTTTTATTTTTCATATACGAGGGCTATCAAAAAGTATCAAGACTGGTTTAGACTGGTACAATACTGGTCAATACTGGTAGTATCATTCGGAAAAGGAGCATCGAAGAGCAGTAGGATTGCTATCACGTGCTTCTATGACTTTTTCTGAGTATATTTGTTTTTATCGCTTCTTTATAAAATTCTTCGGTTTGATTTCACTGATATTTTTGTAAAATATGTTTTTCGAGTTGGGCGATTTTGTAATAAACCCAAAAGAAGAGTAACTTGACAGATTTGGAGATTTTAGAAAATTTTTCTGCATTTTTTTCCAGTTTCAGAGGGATGCAACATTTCATGGTTTTTGCCGTTAAATGTCAATTAAAAAACTGAAAACGTGCCCTCGAGTGGCAGCAAGTTCCGCTTCTTTTGATTTCATTACGAAATCGCCAAACGTGAAAAAAAAAATTTAGAAAAATATCGTCAAATCAAAACGAAGAAGTTTATAGAGATTTTATACGAATGCTCAGTATAAGTCATAGAAGTTAGGTTTACAAATCGTTTTACTCTTCAACGCTCGGTTTCCGAGTAATATTATCAGTCTCGATACTTTTCGATTAGCCCTCGTATATAATTAATTTCGTATCATCATGTCCGTTATTCTAATCGTCTCGTTCCGACACGGCTACACACTGCGGTAGATTTGGTCGATACACGCGGGGTGCAGGACGACCGCCGCCGACAAACTTACTGGACCGTACGCCAGAACATTAATACCGTTGTAGATGTCGCGTTGTAAACGGATCGGGATTTCCGAGTGGGAAACGTGTCGAACCGGGAGAGTTGATCGGGCGTCGAACCGTCTGAAAAATTGTCGATTCCCGGCGCCGAACGGAGACCCGGGCGTCGGCCGCGGTATCGGCGCCCCGCGGTACGGTCCGGACGGGATTGTGAATTCCGTTGGATATCGGTGAGACGAACCGGCGGCCGCCAACCCGACGGCGGGACTTCGCCGGACCTGTGCGCCACCTGAATAGCCCGCGGCCGATGGGTTGTAGGGGGGAGGCGGGGAGGGGGAGCGCGCAGTCGTGCCGCGTCGCTTTGCGCGCGGATTGAACCGCGGATTCACCCGGCCAAAAGAGAGATGTCGAAAAAAAAAAAAAAAAAATTACTCTCCGTTTTCCGCCGAACATCAATTGTTCAGTTTTCAAAACACAAAACGCGTTGGACTCCGGTCGGCACTGGCTCGTATGCGCTGCGCGAACATTGTCGGCGTAACGTTTGACCGCGCGCGTAGTCGATCGCGTTCGTATAGCAAACTGATTGCGACACTGCCGCTATCGGCGCGAGCGGATGGGCAACGTGGGACGGTTCGTCGCGCGGTCCGTTGTTTGCTCCACTCCGTGTTTTAGCGCAGTGTGTCCGGGGCGACGAGCTGATTACGCTGTTCGAGTTGTCGTTAGCGCCCCTCGCACCTGTTATCGTTCTATTAAGCGTTCCCCGCACCGGCCGCGTTTCGCGGCAGCGGCAAGGGTCAGCCACAGTCCGCTTCTGGTGGTAAATTGATCCACACGTATACCTTGTCGATGTTCCTTTAATGTTTCCCCGGCGGGCTGGCGTCCCAATAGACGGACCCCGGGGACTTTCTGTTCGGCACCCGATCAATCGGTGTCGTTCCGTTGAGAAACGACACAAACATCCCGCCGGGGTAACGTTCCTTTCCGAAGCGTTTCGACCTCCCGAAAACATCCCGTCTGGTGGTTTCCTAAATCACCCCGTTCGCCTGTTTCTCCCGCGTTTGAGGCGCTGCTACGGTATTTGGAAACCGGCCGGATGATTTGCGCGTGTCCTTGGAGAAAAACCTTTTCTTAATAACGTCAGTCTGGCTGACAGCGGACCGGAGCGTTGCATGATAACAGTCCGGATTCGTTTGGTTATTTTCGATTATCGAAAAGCGAAGAGGAACCGCCCGTCACGCGGCGTTGCATCTCGGTCGAAGTCCCAAAACGAAATTGTAGTCATTACGACTGCAGGCTGCGCGGCCGACACCCCAGCGTTCGGCATTACGATTTTTGTGCCGTCCGGTTGGTCGTGTTTTTTTTTCTTTCCGGAATATTATTTCCAAATGCTATTACGGCGCCGTGCGGTAAACGGTGTCGGTGTTGACAACGGTGACGTCATCTGACGGTGCGCACGTCGGGTTTTTAACGAAAACGTCGACTGAAATTAAAAAAAAAAAAAAAAAAAAAAAAAAAAACACCTCGCAGAACGGTCGAGATAAAGTCAATAACATTGTGAATTATGACAATACCACTGCGAAACGAAATAATACGGGTAATGTGAGTATTCGTGAAAATATAATTGCGCCCCGTTAA